TTTTCACTTGATTTTCTCTCCCTTGTCATATCTTGTTATTATTGTCTGAGAGCATCTCCAATGCCTCAATCGTCAACATTAAATTTTTTACCACATGTCAGTAAACAACCGGACTGTTAATTCATAAGAAAGCACTATCCACAGATGAAATAACAATAATGAATTATCATCTCCAATGCACACTTTCATTCATGCACAATCCATATATTTATTTTGAAAATATACAAATAAAATGTTGAAATTTTAATTACTATTACGTGTTTCGATTTTTTTTTTTTTTTAAAAAAACAAAATTGGCTTTTATCTCCACGAAATAAATTAAATAATAAAGTAGTTTAGTTTTAAATGTTGTAAGCGTAAAAAAAAAGAATGTTTTATAATAAAATTAAATAAATAATAAAAGTGAAAAAATGTGTGTAACACCTCATTTTGAGAATTTTTTTTTTTTTAAATTTAACTACAAACATAATTAATTGTTTGGAATTAACAAAATAAAATAGATAATAAGTAGTGTAGCTTTTTAAATGTTCAAACTGTAGTTACTAAAAAAAATATTAAAATTTATTATAATGAAATCAAATAAATAAATAAATTGAGAAAATGTCAAAAATTGAGAAAAAATAATAAAATTTTAATTACAGGCACTAATCGTTGTTTCGAATGAAAATAAATTGGCTTTTATCTCCACGAAATAAAATAAACAATAAAGTAGTTTAGTTTTTTAAAATGTCGAAAGTGTAATTACTAAAACAAATAATAAAATAAAATTTTAATTGCAACACATAGATTAATTATTTCGAATTTAAAAAGATGATTTTCATCTAAAATGGGGTTTGGAATGATCACTTGGCCCATCAAGAAAATTGACATTTAACCATTTAAGGGCCTAAAGCTAAAGAATATATAACGGGCAATTTGCATTTATACTACACGATTTTAAAAATATTATAAAAATACAAGATGCTAGATTTTAATTGCATGGTTATCATTTTCTATGCTTTTATTTGTTGCTCAAGCAAAAACTTCCGTTATGTTTTAACCCACCTTCCTACAATCACGCAACCTTCCTACAATCAAGCAAAAAAATAGATTAAAAGATAAGGTAAGTGTATTTAACCCAATAATTAGGAATCTGTTCATAACAAATAGAAAAAAGAGATATAATTAGGAATCTGCTCACCCTCATTCGAAACTACGGCGTCGCAG